GTACTTTTGTGAGTAATAGTGGTTCCTGCAGCACAAGTAAGGAACTCTTTTCTCAATAGATATGGAAAGGTTATCCTTTTACCTGAATGGGTTCTCCATCTCTTTAAGTGGTGTCAATAACAGAATTGGGAAAACATCGTGGAAAATGGAAAAAATAAACATTTTAAAGACAGTATTTATTTGGCAATGTATAGTGTTCACTCAATTAAATATTTGATTAATGACAAATCATGTCTCAATACTCTTTCTGCCAGAGGCCTGCATTTGGTCCATTGGTAAATTACACTTATGAATGGCAAGTATGAGGAAACAGAGTACCTAGAGAAAACCCATGCAGACTCAATGGTAACACTCACCACTCTACCATCTCCTGGCCACCGTGCAGCCCCACGTCTGCAGACCCATAAATAACTTAGATATAGGAGGGGGAGGGGGGGTAGGAGATCAGTGACACAGTGGTTAGCACTCTTCATTATGAGTCTGGCAACCTGGGTTTGATTCCTGACCACAGCTAATATCAGTGACGAGGAATATCACGGCTAAACCTTGGCCTCCCACGGGAACAGAGAATCGACCAGTGTGGTTAAGTATGGTGACACAACCACAAATCACCCGTGTAGATGCCGTCATCCCACATAGGATTATTATTGTTGCTATTAGTTATTTTATAGTAACATGAATTTATGTAAAATATATATCTAAAATAATATAAACAAATAATCAATTGAAATGTGCTGTGTTACAGTGAGGGAAAAAATATTTGATCCCCTGCTGATTTTGTACGTTTGCCTACTGACAAATAAATGATCAGTTTTAAATTTTAATGGTAGGTTTATTTGAACAGTGAGAGACAGAATAACAACAACAAAATCCAGAAAAACGCATGTCAAAAATGTGATACATTTATTTGCATTTTAATGAGGGAAATAAGTATTTGACCCCTCTGCAAAAAATGACTTAGTACTTGGTAGCAAAAGCCTTGTTGGCAATCACAGAGGTCAGACGTTTCTTGTAATTGGCCACCAGGTTTGCACACATCTCAGGAGGGATTTTGTCCCACTCCTCTTTGCAGATCTTCTCCAAGTCATTAAGGTTTCGAGGCTGACGTTTGGCAACTCGAACCTTCAGCTCCCTCCACAGATTTTCTATGGGATTAAGGTCTGGAGACTGGCTAGGCCACTCCAGGACCTTAATGTGCCTCTTCTTGAGTCACTCCTTTGTTGCTTTGGCCATTTGTTTTGGGTCATTGTCATGCTGGAATACCCATCCACGACCCATTTTCAATGCCCTGGCTGAGGGAAGAAGGTTCTCACCCAAGATTTGACGGTACATGGCCCCGTCCATCGTCCCTTTGATGCGGTGAAGTTGTCCTGTCCCCTTAGAAAAACACCCCCAAAGCATAATGTTTCCACCTCTATGTTTGATGGTGGGGATGGTGTTCTTGGGGTCATAGGCAGCATTCCTCCTCCTCCAAACACGGCGAGTTGAGTTGATGCCAAAGAGCTCCATTTTGGTCTCATCTGACCACAACACTTTCACCCAGTTGTCCTCTGAATCATTCAGATGTTCATTGGCAAACTTCAGACGGGCATGTATATGTGCTTTCTTGAGCAGGGGGACCTTGCGGGCGCTGCAGGATTTCAGTCCTTCACGGCGTAGTGTGTTACCAATGATTTTCTTGGTGACTATGGTCCCAGCTGCCTTGAGATCATTGACAAGATCCTCCCGTGTAGTTCTGGGCTGATTCCTCACCGTTCTCATGATCATTGCAACTCCACGAGGTGAGATCTTGCATGGAGCCCCAGGCCGAGGGAGATTGACAGTTCTTTTGTGTTTCTTCCATTTGCGAATAATCGCACCAACTGTTGTCACCTTAAATTTGATTTGACGCTTTCGTGACTGCAGGAGTTATTCTTTGGTTCTTTCGGTAAAGTCACGCAGAAATAGAAAATAAAAAAATACATAATATTACACGGCGTTTCGATTGCAAAGCAAGCAATCATCATCAGGCACAAATATTAGAGAAACAAACCTAGTGAACTTAGAAATATAATGCAACACAGCGTATAAAGTCGGCCGACACAGCAGTCAACACCCTATCTGGTTGATTACGTCCAAGAGACACAGAACCGGAGACACATACACAGACACACAAGCGGAAAGAGTTAACACAGAAACACAGAGAGAGAGAGACACACGTATGGGCACACAGAGGAACAACGTCCATGTGTCGGGGCCTTAAATAGCCAGAGAGGGGGGTACGGAGAGAGAGGGGGGGTCAGAAGAATTAGCATGTCAATGGTAGATTCCACAATGAGAGATCTGCTGCCAACGCAGAGGGGAGACAGAGACGGAGGCAACACCAATTCAAACTAACATAGCGAAACTTGGAAATGTAATGTAATGCGATACAGAGTCGGTCAACACACAATCAACACATGGCCTGGTCGATTACGCCACTCCACCTTCTCATCAAGCTGCTTGGCAATGGTCTTGTAGCCCATTCCAGCCTTGTGTAGGTCTACAATCTTGTCCCTGACATCCTTGGAGAGCTCTTTGGTCTTGGCCATGGTGGAGAGTTTGGAATCTGATTGATTGATTGCTTCTGTGGACAGGTGTCTTTTATACAGGTAACAAGCTGAAATTAGGAGCACTCCCTTTAAGAGTGTGCTCCTAATCTCAGCTCGTTACCTGTATAAAAGACACCTGGGAGCCAAAAATCTTTCTGATTGAGAGGGGGTCAAATACTTATTTCCCTCATTAAAATGCAAATCAATTTATAACATTTTTGACATGCGTTTTTCTGGATTATTTTGTTGTTATTCTGTCTCTCACTGTTCAAATAAACCTACCATTAAAATTATAGACTGATCATTTCTTTGTCAGTGGGCAAACGTACAAAATCAGCAGGGGATCAAATACCTTTTTCCCTCGCTGTATGTATCCGCAGAGGGGCGTTCTACAGGAATAGCGAGCTCCCGCAAGAGAATAACTTATCTCAAGAATTAGCCACGTAGGAGGAATTTATCTGGCCAAGAGAGCTCATTGACCCAGGGTGAATATTTTAACCAGCAAAGCTGTATTAAAACTGACAAATTATCGAAGAATGCCATATACGAAGGGCAGAGAGATCTATGCTTTAACATTTCATCCTAAATGCAGCATCTCTGACTACATGATTTTCACTCGCACTCTGCGGACATTTCAGTTCAGTGCTGAATCAAATGGGAATCTATTCTAAACTGAATATAAAAATAGTCATTCCCTTTTCCAAGAAAGCTTTTCCGAGTCTCAATAATGTTTTTTCAGCAGGATCCTGCATTGTGATTGTTTGGCATATGTTATCAGTGTTTGGTTTCACGTGCAAGGATTTTGGAAATCCTGGAGAAATCTATGCCTGTGAGGGGATAACATGCAAAGCGTGACACAGATGGGTTCAATCCATTGCTATGTTGCCATCTACTAGCCACTTTGCAGCCCAAGACTGGGATTCCCAGGCAGTTTTCCATCCAAGTATTATAACAGGCTCAACGATACGTAGCCTCCAAAGGTCTGACGAGATCATGTACATTCAGGGTGATTTGCTCATAATGTCCTGATGTAATTACCCAGAACAAAACTGCAAACAACCCTTCTCGTGGCTGCTTGTAGTGCTCACCAGGTATGACAAAAATAAGCGTCAGTAGTCTTAAGGGTTTTTATTTTTATTTTGGCTTATTCTACCAAAGGGGCCTTATCACCGATTAATAGATGTGTTATGTACGTATTGTACAGCTCACAATTTGAGTCACTTTGGGTGAAGAAAATATTAACCTTTGATGTTGCATTCATAAGGCGTGATGGTGAGAGGATAGATATGTGCTGAGATGGGTTTTTTATTTATATACGGGTAGGTTTTTAGATGGTTCATGACCCCTCTCTTGCTGCGGGGGGAAGAATCTCACCTCAATTGGACTCCAGGGATATGCCTGATTTGTGGACCGGTTGCTGAGATTTGAGCATAAATTCAGCTTTACATTAATAATACAACACAACCAAAAAGTTGGAAATCATGTCACGTTTATTCGGTTCCCCATTCTATTCGGTATTTGCACCACTGACATATCAATCGTTTCACATGAGTTTTGTATTATGATAGTATTTTAACATACAGCCTTCATATTCCTTCAGTTTAAAAAAGTATAATTTCATCCCTCGACCTGGATGGTTTGCCCATTGTCACGAAGCATTGATTCTCAAAATAATCACTTATCACAACCTGGGCCTATCTATAAACGAGGTGCAAGTGTATGCAATCCACAGCTGAATGAAGGTCTCGCCACGCGAGGTTGGTCATGGGGGCTTGTTTTGACTCTGCTTCACCATGCTGGGCGGTGTGGGCTGGTGAAGTGGGGTGGGTCGTGGCAACCCAGGACCAGGTCAGCTATCACTCGCCACTGATGTTAGCCGTGGCAGGAAATCGTACTCGGATCGTCGGGTTCCAAGCTCACTGTGTTAACCACTGCACCACCGTTCTATCTCACCACTGCACGACTTCTATAACATTTTGCCACTGTGGACGCCGCGGTGGCAAAATGTTTACCTCGCCTGGTATATAGGAGGTCTTGGGTTCAATCCCGACCCTGACGCCTGTATATTTGGAGTTTGCATGTTCTCATTGTGATTGTGTGGATTTTTCTTCGTGTCCTCCGATTTTTCCCTCCACATATAGAAACATGCATTTAGAGTATTTGGCTGCTATACATTTCCATACGATAAGCCACTTCGTTGAGCTATCAATTGTGGCCAGGTTGCTTCTGAAAAAGAGCTACAAAGCTCGGTGAGCCTTACCTGGTAATACAATTTTTATTTAAGCTTACTTTGTTTTTTATATACAACATAGCGTGCAAATATTTCTAATAAATAGCAATTGTGCATGTGACCGGTTGCTCATGGGCTTGCTCACTCGCTCTCTTGTTGCCTTGTCCTATCGTCCTCCCGCTCACTCGGTGTGCTGGCAGGTGCGAAGGCTCGGCGGCATACCACTGCTGGTGGACCTGCTGGGACATCCCAAGGCCGACGTGCAGAAGAATGCGTGTGGGTCGCTCAAGAACTTGGTGTACGGTAACGACGACAACAAGAAGGCGCTGCGGCAGGCAGGGGGAGTGCCAGCCCTGGCAACGCTGTTGCGCAGGACCGGCGACGCAGAACTGCAGGAGCTTGCCACCGGTGCGTATGCCTGTGTGCGTGTGTGCGTGTATGTCTGTGTGCGTGTGTGGGGTGTGATAGGTGTAGCGGTTAACGCGCTGCGCTATGAACCTGGCCACCTAAGTTCGATTCCCGTTCACGGCCAACATCATTGACGATTATCTTAACCTGTCCTGGGCCTCCCTTAGTTTGACTCAGCCTCAAATGAGTACCTGGTGGGGTGTACAAACATCACCAGTAGAGAGACAAAGGTGACCAGGCATAGTGCTTAGCCACCCAGTCCCTCGTTTGCAGTGCCAGCACTTGCCCTAATAGTCTGTTAAGGCTATACAGAGATATTTTCCTTTGTGCAACAATAAATGAGGGGACAGGAGTGATGCTAATCAACAACGAGCAGAGCTCCGGGCAGCTAAAACACAAGTTGGCACATTGGGGAACATAGATGGTGCATCTAACAGTCATCTCAGTCAGTCAACCCATGGCACCTGGGTCTGACCTGTGATCTCCTGCCAGTAAGCCTTTGGAACTTTATTTCGCCTCAAAGTGCATTTGAACTGGCACAAGCACTGTGGTGATGTCACCGTCATTTATTGGCGAATTTGCAGTTGTATAATGGAGAGTGGTGGCGTTACGGTTAGACCGCTGAACCACGAAGCCGGTGACCTGAATTTGATTCCAGGCCCTGGCTTAAAATCAGTGACGAAACTATATCAGAACCAGTCTTGGGCCGCTTCCCCGAGATCAAATACACTTTAAAATGAGTACCTGGTTCAGGAAATAACCAGCACTCAGGAGAGGAAGGTGACTAGGCATGGTTGCTGGCCGCACCACCATTCTCATGCACTTTTCTGGTATTAGAGAATACTTTTCCCCACAAATATTTGTTTTCCCAGAAATTAATGCATATTCGTGGAAATCTTAATGGCAGAACTGTTGAGACAAGGGCCGACAAGCATGATGCTGATGACCACATCTCCGTCTTGTGTGGCAATGTTGGCCTTGATCAGCATTAACGAATATAATTTATGTTAATAGAGTGCCTTCACTCAAGGCACTTGACATAGCTTACATAATGGTGACAATATTATTAAGATGGCAAGGGCATAGCAAGGATTGATAAATGAGTGACCCTGATCAAGGGAACTTTGGGATCACGAAAGGGTAGTGGAGGGACTGGAAGGAGGGAGGGGCGAGGGGAGGTTAAGAGGAAGGAGAAGAGGTGAGCCACCAGGAGCCAATCCATCCTAAATAATGGGGTATTTGGCTGCTAATAATTTCCAAATGATAAGCCACTTAATTGGGCTATCATTGGTGGCCATGTTGCTTCTGAAAAAGAGTTATATAGCTCGGTGAGGCTTACATGTGTGTGTCGTGAATACAACCACTACTGTAAGTGTACAGACACAGATGTCTCTGTGGGTCGCGCCAGCCACAGTGCTGGAGGAGCACCAGGTGCCCCGATTGGACGAGCTAAGAGCACGTCACCGGAAGCGGGCCCTCGATTGGACTAGCTAAGGGCACGACCGGAAGCGGTGTCCGATTGGACGAGTTAAGGACATGTGGCCGAAAGCGGTGCCTCGATTGGACGAGCTAACGGCATGTGACCTGAAGCGGTGTCTCGATTGGAGGAGTTAAGGACACGTGGCTGGAAGCGGGCGCTCCATTCTTGATACAGCAAGGGGCGGGGCCAAGGGATAAAGGGGGAGCACGTTCGGGGATTCGGGGCTCGTTTGCGTGGATCAACTCCAGGGGTCGTCGCTCTTCGGTCTTCGCTCCTCGTTCGAACTAGAGTCTTCGCTGGGGATCGTGGGTCAGGCAGCCTATGTGCTGGCTGGCCCGTTCGTTCAGCTAACTCACACACACACGGCGAACAATCTAGGAACAGTACAGCCACACTTAACTGTAGAACTCGGTGATTAAACGCGTTGCCTCAAACAATAGTGTGTGCGCATCTGTAATAACACTACACTTGGTAAAATAAAAACATTGTTTAGTTTAGAAATAAATCCATCACAGGCTGCTAATTTCACCAAAGATTAGACAATATGTGATACTATTTTTGCTCTTGTACCCACTTGTAGTTACGCATCAACTTGATTTTGTTGCCCCCTATATATTGAACCCTGAATTTAAGGAGTAATAAGCAGGAATAATATGATTTACTTGCAGCTCCAGAATAATTCATTGGGAATTCAGAAATTCCAATTTTCTTTTTAAAGGAGACCTTATGTTTGCACTTACTGATGGCTTAAAACACATTAGTGTAATGGAATTGCTGAAGGTCGGCAACCGTATCGGCAACTGTAATACATTACAATGACCTAAGTTATGACGTTTAACCTGATTGAAGTTCTATTTATCGGTAATTTCCACTTTGTGATTGAACTTTTTTCCCATATTTATGTTTTTCATTCAACAGTGTAGGTTATTTAAGAATTTGTTATACGTGGACATAATGCCATGTTAGAGTTTCACGCCTAATTATGTTTAAATCTTTTTTTTAAATGTATATATATGGGGCAGCGGTGGTGCATTGAGTTTAGCACTGCACAGTGAAATCGGTGACCTGAGTTCAATTCCCAACCGCAGTGGACATCATCAGCGAATAATATATGAAACAGTCCCAAACCATTATTTTCGTCTCCCCACTCCTCTTTTCTGAACATAGATGGACTCATATTCTTGGCTCTTTCGGTAAAGTCACGTAGAAGGGAAACAATAAAATAATAAAAATATAAAACAATAAAATTCTCACGACGTTTCGACTGCAACACAAGCAATCATCATCAGGTGTGAAAACCACAGCAAGAAAATTTTTAAAAAGTGGCGTTTTTTTTAACGTTAGCACCATGGAAAGCGATTTGGCAGTTATTCAGATGGACGAGTCCATCTATGTTCGGAAAAGAGGAGGGGGAGACGAAAATAATGGGTGCGGTCTGAAAGCCACCGTAAGCGTGAACAATCAATTAAGACCCGAAATGGTTTATCAAATCCTTCCAATGATTGCTAAGCCAGAATCCATCTTCTCGGTTGAAATTGTCTCTGTGTTTGTATATGTGGATAGCCTCACGAACGAATCTCTCATGGTAGCCAGATGGCTTGCAAAGAACCTCTGTCTTGGAGAAGTCAATGTCATGTGAACCTACTGAATTATAACAGTGATCTGCCACGGCCAAGGTGTTGGTCCTACCGTGTTTTAGGTCTGCTTTGTGTTCACGAATGCGGTCCGAGACATGGCGTTTGGTTTCTCCAATGTAACTACTACCACAGAGGCAACTTAGTTTGTAGACACCAGAGTACTGTATGTCCGGAATGACATCTTTTACAGACGGAACCAGATCACGGATTTTATGTAATGTGTTGAATCGGACCTGGATCTTGTGTTCATTTAAGATTTTGGAGATCTTTTAGTGATCCCCGCAATGTAGGATAAAGTTATGGTTTTGAAAGGCTCCTCAAGAGGATCCTTCTTCATGATTGGAGTGATAGCTTTGCGGATTGTGTAGTCGGAGTAACCATTAGCCTTAAGAGCTTGGTGTACGTGCTTGAGTTCAATGGCTATGTGCTTCTGGTCGGATATGCATTGGGCTCTATGGTGCAGAGTCTTGATGAGGGAATTCTTCTGGGATGGATGGTGGTGGGAATCCGGTTTCAGGTAAGCATCCGTATGGGAAGCTTTCCTGTAGACAGAGTGGCTCATTGAACCATCAGGTCTCTTTTTTATGAGGATATCCAAAAAAGGTAGCTTGCCATCTTTTTCGACTTCCATGGTAAATCTGATGTCTGGGTGTATGGAATTGTTGTGGTCGAGGAATTGGTCTAGAGCAGGCCGGCCATGTGGCCAGATGACAAAAGTGCCAACCACGTACCTCTTCCATAAGGTTGGGCGCAGAGTGGCAGTCTGGATGGCGTCAGTCTCAAATTTCTCCATGAAAATGTTGGTTACAACCGGGGATAGGGGGGAGCCCATTGGGGTGCCCTCAGTTTGTTTGTAGAAAGTTCCATTCCAGGTGAAGTATGTGTTGGTTAAGCAGTGTCTCACCAGGGGGGGTACATCAGTATGCAGTCCTTGATGAACCAAGTCTTCAATGATTGCGATGGTGTCAGGTACAGGAACTTTGGTGAATAAGGAAACTACATTAAAACTGACAAGCAGGTTGTCTGGGGACAGGGAAATACACGTGATTGTCGATACCAGGTGAGTAGAATTTTTTACCGCAGCGGTGGTTTTTCCAGTGAAAGGCCGCAGGATTTCAGACAGAAAAGGAGCCAGTTTGTAGGTGGGGGAGTTGATAGTAGAGACGATGGGACGAAGGGGTGTATCTACTTTATGTATTTTTGGTCAGCCATATAATCTTGGTGGCCTGGCAGTAGAAGGTTTCAACGAGAACTGTTTGGTTTGATCAATTAATGCGGTTGAATCAGAAATGATTTTGTTGGTTTGTATGACGAGGCTGTTTGTGGGATCTCTTTTTATTTTTGTATAGCTGCCATCGTTGAGTAATTCTTGAATTTTGTTGTTATATTCTATTTTATCCATGATGACAGTGGCATTGCCCTTGTCGGTTGAGAGGATGACAATATCATCCCTCTTTTTTAATTTATATAATTCAAAACGCTCATATTTGCTGAGGTTACTTGCTGGCATCATTGAAAGGATTTGATAAACCATTTCGGGTCTTAATTGATTGTTCACGCTTACGATGGCTTTCAGACCGCATACATTATTTTCGTCTCCCCCCTCCTCTTTTCCGAACATAGATGGACTCAAATTTTGATTTAAAGCTTTCGTGACTGCAGTGATTCATATTCTTGGTTCTTTCGGTAAAGTCACGTTGAAGGGAAACAATTAAATAATAATATATATAAAACAATTAAATTCTCACGACGTTTCTACTGTAACACAAACAGTCATCATCATGTGTTACAGTCGAAACGTCGTGAGAATTTTATTGTTTTATATATATATATTATTATTTTATTGTTTCCCTTCAACGTGACTTTACCAAAAGAACCAAGAAAGTAGATGGACTCGTCCATCTGAATAACTGCCAAATCGCTCTCTGTGGTGCTTACGTTAAAAAAAACCGCCACTTTTTAAAAATTTTCTTGCTGTGGTTTTCACACCTGATGATGATTGCTTGTGTTGCAGTTGAAACGTCGTGAGAATTTTATTGTTTTATATTTTTACTATTTTATTGTTTCCCTTCTACGTGACTTTACCGAAAGAACCAATAATATATAGTCCCAAACCTCTTCCCTTTGCCAAGCATGGTGAAGTATGGTCATACAACTCCCGTGACCAACATAGCCTGGGAGCCCTTCTTCCTGCAGCAGATTGACAAATTGGCTCTAAGTTGTTATTCAGATATTTAAAATAGATATTAAATGTGATCAAAACCTCATTTAGATTACCCACCTGCAGTAAAGGATTACATTATCTCTTGTCTAATCTTTGGTGTAATTAGCAGCCTGTGATGGATTTCTTTCTAAACGAAACTTTTTTTATTTGACCAGGTAAGGCCCACTAAACTTTATAGCTCTTTTTCAGATGCAACCTGGCCACAAATGATAGCCCAATGAAGTCGCTTATCGCGTGGAAATTAATAGCAGCCAAATACTGTAAATGCATGCTTCTAAATGTGGAGGAATAAAACAGAGAACCAGGGAGAAAAATCCACACAACCATAGGGAGAACATGCAAACTCCAAATATACAGGTGTCAAAGTTGGTGTTGAACCCACGACCTGTATACTAAGCGAGGGAGTTAACATTTCTAAAACAACAGGTCATTGCAAACAATGTATGCGTCCATAATACAGGTTTTTTTTGTTAGATCGCGAAAATATGAATTTTTCGTTAAACCCACCCACCACCACCAGACACAGACAATTAGTAAGGTTTTTCGCGTAAACAGAACATGCAAATTTGTCACTAGTATAGCACAGCGGTATGTTGGAGAGCAAATCCACAACATTTGCAATCTGAGTGATGTTTTGCCAGTAGTTACAACCGGCATCATCAGGCAGCAGCCAGTGTATGCGTGTGCATGGTAATCGAACATGCTTTCTCTTTTCTTTCTCTCTTGCTCTGAGATATGGACAATCTCAAATCATGTCACTGCTCTAATTTTATCCTGATTGTGCCATCTGCTCAAATCGTGCGACAAAGAATCCCCTTGGATCTCTCAGGGCAGTGCAAGGCTTCGTGTTAGATCATGACCCACGGCAGCGGATATCATAGAGCTACTTCTGAGGCCCCCTTCAAGTGGCTTCCGTGCAGTAGGAGGAGACACTTGACGCCTTCCTGTCTCACTGAACCACGTAGCCTTGTGCTCGTTGACCTTCCCTGTCTCAATCCAGGCCTGCTCTGGAACCTTTCGTCCTGCGAGACCCTGAAAATGGCCATGGTAACGGATGCACTGAGTGCCCTCGTTGCCTCCGTGGTGGTGCCCTGCGCCGGTCTGGCGAGGGATGGTGAATCAGCGAGCGCTCCCCTCGCCTCCCCTACGCAGGGCATACAGTCCCAGGTGTTGCGAAATGCTACTGGGTGCCTGAGGTATGCACACACGCACACACGCACACACACGCGCACACACCCAGAGATTCAACAAAGATTAAATAATATATGGCAATGGGTTTGGTCCTCACATAGATTTGGTCCACTCTCTGGATTGTATTGATTGGTCTGTGGTTTAAATCTACCTGTCTAGAGTTTCCAGTCATTTCCTCTCATATGCATGGATTTTATCCGAGTGTTCTGGTTTCCTTCAACAACTCGAAACACGCAAAGGTGGATTTGACCAAATATTCCAATGCTGAATAAGAGTATTAAGACTTAGTGAGGCCTTACGGGTAAATAATTGTATTTGCTTTGGCATGTCATGCATAAGTGACCTGTATTGTGATACCAAAAGGCAGCTTGTTCTGTTCATGCGACAGAGCGAGCAGGTGTATAAGTGTAGCATTTGGCCATAGCATCCCACGAGAACTGTGGCAGCAATGCACGGCTGTGGCGTCTGGCTGTCGTCGTGTGTAATGGCAATGCTTCGCTTGTGTGTCCCACGGCTGTAGGAATATGAGCTCGGCTGGCGAGGAGGCTCGGAGGCAGATGAGGGAGTGCGACGGACTTGTGGAGTCTCTGCTGCACATAATAGAGACCTGCCTGGACACGGAAGATGTGGGAGGAAAGGTACGAGCAGTCACACAGACCTCCCCACAAAGAAACAAGCAGTTTCTTGTTTAACCATATAGACCGGGGGAGGGAGTAACCTCCAGCCCACGTGCAGAATGTGACCCGAAATTTCATATCTTTCTGCCACCAGTCTCATGGCCATTTTCCCTTCTCGCGATGTGTTCTGCCCAAGTTCACATTTTCCCGCATGTGCTTTCCAACATTGCACAGGCTTGTACAGAGGCGGAGGGGATAAGGGGCAGAGCTGCTGTCTCCTGGGGCTACATACGTGGTTACTCGATTCACAGAGGGTCAGCCCTGTCTTTCAAGTCGGGGTGGGTCACGTAGTAAATGGCAAGTAGAATTGACATCCCATCGGGTGTCAATGATATCGGCATGTCAATTGTGATATCAATAATTGAATTATTAATGATGGCGCAGATTCAATTGTTTGTGGGCAAGTGGTAATTGCCTCTTGTAATTGGTTTTATTGCAACGCTGGTTTTTGTGGCCCGCACTTATAGATGCAGCACCAGGTCAATAAGGATCATGTTTGGAATGTGCCAAAGGGTTTAAAACAAGCTGCACCAGCCAGGTCAATGTGTGAGCCTACTCTTAAGTTTGTACATACATTTAGAATGGCTCTTCCTTATCCCATTAACCCCGCAGCTCTTTCATTGAAGAACACCCCGGATTTGTGCTGAAGCAGCAACTACGCTTATTGTGTGTTAAGTCCACTTTCATTAAGCGAAACCCTGGAATACATTCGCAGTTAGAATGCAGATGCACAGTTTGTTGCTTATTTACAAATAAATGCAAAATAACCAATTAAAAAACTATTGTTATACAGAAATCAAACTTAAAAAAATTGAAACGTTTTCTACTTGCGTGCATAGTCTCAGCATAGTCTCAACACTCATAGTCTCAACACTCTAGTCTTGCTGCGTGTTTTGCAAGCACAAACGTCGTCCTTATTGGCAGATGTAGTGTCACACTTGTAATAGAGCAATGTGAGGTGGGCAGAGTTGGAGGAGAAGGTTGGGGGTAAGGGGTGGTGGTCGGGGTTGGTTGGGCAGGGGGTGTACATTGCCCCAGGCCCTCAGGGGGGGGGGGGGGGGAGGGCCTCAAAGGGGGTCTCATCTCACATTTTGCCTCAGGCCTCCAAAAACCTTTTCATCGATCCTGAAAGTGGCCCACCCAAATGCGATACCCACATTCAAGGCAGCAAGAAAAAAAGCAAACTTATTTCTAGGTGGATGGGGCGGCTCAGGAGTCAGAGCCAACGAGTCGGCACTTGAGTTTCTGCGTTTGAATCTGGGCAGCCGCCCGTGATGAAAACTCGGGGTTCTCAAGTATGTAGTGTTGTTCATCAAAGCACAAAAAGCCAATCACGTTATATTTGGCTGGAAAGTTCATTTGGCTAAATGCATTCGTGAGAAACAAAAATAGTAATTTACTGATATGCGCAAAACATTTAACTCATAGCAGGGTTTGGGGAAAGGTATGTTGCCTCCTGTGTGTGGATTAAAGGTCCCTGTGACCATCATCGGTTCCCGTTTACCATTCTCTAGCACACTCGGTCAAACCTCTCTGCAAAGATGGTCACTGCATTGCGCACTTTCAGATACGCCTCTGCGGGCTTCTGGAACCCTCTGCCTTTCGATATTAAGAAGCCACTGGAGCTATGCACTTAAATCTAGATTGAAAACGAATTTCTTTGGAACTGATTTTTATGTTTAGTTTGTTCTTTCCCCCACACCTCTGATTTGCACGGGTGGCTACGTACTGTGCGAAATATGTTAAGCCTACATACATACGAATGCATTTTTCATCTCAATAGAAGATGCTCATAACGCAATTTTTTATAATACTTTGAAAAAGAATAATAGCTAAAATGGTCAGTTATTTTTACATGTCTGTACATTTTTAGACTTTAGAGCTTCATCTCCTCATCACATTTATTTATCCAGAAACTATGGTGTTCTTTTAATCAAATAAAAGACCCGAAGTTTTCAGTGTGTGCTCACAATACTGTGCAGTAACATTTCAGTTCACGTTCATCCATTTCCATTCCGCTAATGAGATCTTCAGTATTTTGCTTCGAGCTTCACTTGACTTGACAATCGCAAGAATGAATAATACATTTGGAAATCGTTCTTTTTCACAATTATTCTGCGAGTTTATGGTCATAACATTGCATCTCTCTTGTGTTAACAAAAAAAAAAAACACATGCCTTCCCTGTCAGGTTATCATGGAAAATTGGATTTGTTGCTTGGTAATTATGAATGTGATTGCTTTTGAACTATGCCCTTTCCAATGACTGAAATGTATCTTACTGAAGATTAAGTTTTATAATTTATACTTAACTGACCTGCGTGGTAAAGTATGGTCAAATAACCCCCATGATCCGCACAACATGAGGACCTTTTTCATATGTGAAAAAGGTCATGTTTGGGAATTATATATATAGAAAATGACAGTTCCACCACGTGCAAATGCCTCCCCCGGGTATTGACGGATAATTGGTCAGGGCAGACGTGTGACAGGTCAGATGTGAGACGTCGCACCGTGCGCGCGTGTGAGCCCGAGCGCGCGTTGTGTGCTGCAAGGTGGTGGAGAACTGCGTGTGCGTGCTACGGAACCTGTCCTACCGCCTGGCCGCCGAGACACTGCGGGGTCATGACTGGGCCTCGGGCGGTGGAAGCGGCGGTGGAACGAGCGCCCAGGATGGAGGCGCGGCAGGACCTGGCGGAGGCGGCGGTGCCGGCGGCGGTCGGACGGGCCGGGCTCGGCAGAAGGAGAAGCCGAGCTGCTGGGGAAAGAAGCGCAAGAAGAAGCCGCTGGATGAGGCAAGCGTTAAGTTTTTCCCTCCACATTTTAGAATCAATTTCATGCATTTAGAGCATTTGGCTGCTATCAATTTCCACATGATAGCCACTTCGTTGAACTATCATTTGTAGCCAGGTCGCTTATGAAAAAGAGCTATATAGCTCATTGGGCCTTACCTGTTAACAAAAAAAAAGTTGTTGCCATTGTATTGCTAGAGGAAGCGGCGGCACGGTGGTTAGCACACTCCACCATGAAGCCAGAGTCATGGGGAGGTGAGGCACATACATGGCATGTGATGTCATCTCCTTGGTTGATATCCATTCAGTGAAGCCTTTTAATTTCCAATTTTTGGGAAACTCTTTAATCAATTTACACTCAAACGTAATTTGTATTGCTTTCACTTTACGGTAATTATCGTGGTCCCATGTTACAGAGAGACAGACAGATGTAATATTAACCTTCGTTGAAAAATATAAATAATAAATCCCGTGTCATCTCCAAGTTTCATGTGTCTGCACCCTGCTTAATGCGCGTGCATTGCCTTTGTAATTCCTTTGGTATGAAAGTTCCCGTATACTGTAGCTATATCATGATTGTATGTATGGTATGGGGAGGTAGACCTGCCAACATTCTCCTTGGTCAGATTGAAGCAGGGAAAGTGAAGTGAAACGGATTTTTCCAGAATTGTCACATTGCACAATGGGTATTGAACGGCTGAATCGGTCGGTCAGTTTATTTCGGGAAAATGCCCCATTGAGCAAAGGTCTCTTTAAAAAGCGACTGGAATGGTACACACACACTACTCCTTTGTGATGATGAAAAACGGACCTTGACGGTTTTTGAGAACATTCTATTTGCTGGTGTCTTGGGGGAAACTTCACAAGTATCTGGAATAATTAAAATGGCCTTGATGGTTTGTATAGACGCTTCTGTACTGAACTCAGAGGGCACTTTCTTTGGGGGGGGAAATATATATATCTCCACAAAGCAATATTGTACTTGATATATGAATAACGGTGAATATGATTATGATATGAATGTTATTTAACTCCGAAAATAAATTACATTCATCTGTGTCAGCAGCTTTGTGTAGATGAATTAATAGATTTCAATTTAACTTGATAATAAGCTAGACAGGCATTGTCGAGATTTTTTCGCTGGCTGCGGTCCTATCTAATGCATTTGTCTATCTTTTACATTCGGTGGGAATTTATTTTCAGCTTTTTTTTTTCTTAAATTCCTTATTCTTGGTGCATAAACCTATTCATGCATAATTCAGTCACTTGCAGTGATGCATGCTGCTTCATCCGGGCGCTGACATGCATCTGCTTGCATTATGTTGAGATTAAAATTTTATAAATCTGGGACCATGGGGTCATCCCGCTAACATACCGAGCCTCCAGGGGAGTGACCCCTGCATTGCCAAGACACATGCACCCGATATGCATGCTCATGCGCATAATGTGCGTGCGCCCTAAGCTCATGCTTGAGCCTTTATGTGCACGTACATATGACACTCGTACTATTGCTAACTGCAAACGTGTGCAAATGTGCAATCGTGTTTACGTGTACGAGCGAGTTTGCCGGAGATAACACGATCATTTATAGCCACAGCCCTCTTTAAATCCACTGCTGGGTGAAAGCCTCCCCAAAGTATTTTGGCCGTGATGCTTTTTTTTTTTACCGTACTTCACCCCGCTGGTCAGTGTGGGTTGGTGAAGGTGGAGAGGAGGGGGGGGGTGCATGCTAAAGATTAGTTCAGATGTCACTCATCACTGGTGTTAGCCATTGCTGGGAATCGAAGTCAGGTCACCAAGATAATGGCAAAAATACACTAACGACTGCTACCTCTTAACCCCATGAAAATCTATAATGAATACATGAAGACCAGATAAGTTCGTTTCAAATATATAATGAAAAGATGGAAGGTCTGTTCCTCCACTTAAAATAACACGTGTTATCTGTCCATTGGACTGAGTCTTCTCGACCAATGTTTTCCAGCAGCATTCATTTAAACAGAAAACTCTGAGCCAGTTTTGACCATCAATATACCATCAGCAGAGTCCGATCTGTACAATGGCCACTCCACAAAACTAATGGGAGCAATTCTGCACGAAAAAACTGCTCCAGTAAGGTGGTTAAGTGTGTATACGTGCGTGTTTGTAAGTTAATTAATACATGCACGTGTGTGTGTGTGTGTTTATAGAGAATGGTAGTGTAGCGGTTAGCATGCTGCACTACGAACCCAGCGATCCAAGTTCGATTCCTGCTCACAGCCAACACCAGTGACGATAATCTGAACCGGTCCTGGGCCTCCCCTATGTTGACTCGGCTTCAAATGAGTACCTGGTGCGATGTGTAAACATCGCCACTGGGGAGACAAAGGTGGCGTGGTGCTGACCACCAACCCCCTCGTGTGCCGTGCCAGCCTTCATAGGTGCTCGCTAACAGCCCTTGCCCCATCAGTCTGTTAAGGCTATACGGGGGAATCTTTGTCTTTGTCAGTGGGATGGCGTGGGACCTATCCCAGAGTGTCCTGATCCTCCCCGGGGCCCCGAGCGGCTGTTCCACCCAAGCGTGGTCAACCCGTACCTGGGCCTGCTCAAGAAGTGCGCCAACCCAGCCACGCTGGAGGGCGCCGCAGGCGCCCTGCAGAACCTCGCCGCGGGGGGCTGGAAGGTCAGTGTCCCCCCCCCCCCCCATCCCGAGAGTCTCGCTCCTCGCTAAGTTGTTCATTTTGTTAACGTATTCAGTGACAGAAACCAAGGAAGTGGACGAGAAAACCATTGAGCACGACGTTGACTACCCACTACCCGTAAAACCTTAAGCGCGACTGACTGTGACGAGACAAAATTAATGAATCTGGATGAAGATGAAGACTAAGATACAATTATCAGAGGCGGCAAGGCCAAAAATTGTAATTGGCTACATATATAACAAGATTTACTGAGTTCATTGATTGGCTGACATGATTATATTGAGGTGGGGGAGATGGATTGCACGCCCCTCAGACGCCAACACTTAACTTAGATTGGAGTAAACATTTGACTCCTTTAGACTATTCGACTAAGAGAACGACTAAAACAAATCCATAGGTTGCAGTCGACTACATTCACACTATGACTAAACTAAAAACATGCTCACCGAATACAACCCTGTTGCACTCCTGCATCCTACCTTGGACTTAATGTATCAATAGTAAGCCACAGCCAGCGCAAGGTGTATTCTGGATGTGGTGTAGTCAAGTGCAGTCATATTGTGTGGGTGGCTGACCCAGACAGACAAGACTGCTGTCCTGTTCCTTATGCATTCGCCGTTTTTTATTAGGTCTCAATAACAACTTCTGTCATCTTATAATCCTCCTCGCACAGTTGCATTTGTTCACATCAGAGAGTAAATTTAAAGTCCTGGGAAAGTGCCCCCCTATAATATTTACAGGGGCACCACCACCCCCCCCCCACATTGTGAATGACAAACCAGCAAAGATATGTTGCTACAAGTGCGATGCCAAAACGTAGACTACAGGCACACGTGGTCTAGCGCACAATATTGGAGCAGACTTCAGGGTTGTGCATTGTGCAGTACAACGTTGACCGCTTTCACGTCCCAGCTGCCCACTCTGTAACAAATGTATCCATTGCCTAAGGCTGTTCTTTACAAGTTTCTTGACACTGTAATAGGAGGCTGACTAGTGGGACTGGCTTCCTTGGATTCAATTGGAAGCAGTGAGGTGATGTTTATCATTTAATTTGCAAAAGTACAAGGTGGCTCAGCTATTCCATTGGTGCGCCAATTTATTTTGTAATCAAGAGGGAATTGAGCTACCTTGTATTTTAATAAAGCGAGGCAAAGCTAATTTATTTGACTGGCTCTCAGTGGTTTTTCGCGAAGTTGTGCGAGTGAAGTGCCCTTACTTCAGTTATTTTACCGTGTAAGTGAGTGCGCGTGGTTCGCTGGGGGAAGAGGGCCGCATTCAAAGAAATTCTCGTTTGTCGGCGGCAGTGCCGGTGGCGACACAAAGGAGACCTGGTGGGGGCGGGTGGGCGTATTTCTCCGGCAAGATGTGGTAGCACCTGATTGCACTGTGAGCAGCGTGAGTAACGCTCCGGCAGACGGATAGGGCTTCCCAGGACCGATCGCGCACACTCCCAAGGCGACCGGATTTATCGCTGACGAGTTTTCGGCGCACGGAGGCAAAAGCAGCGTAAAACAAAAGGAATACATCACGAGGCGGCGTGACAGGGCGAGGTTAAGGTTAGCATCACTTAGAGTGAGAGAGTGAGATAGAGAGAGGGTTGAAGAGACAGGCAGACATGTGCTTGATGTGTGCACGTGGTGCATAGGAATCGTGCGGTGAGCCATTGATTCGTGGATTAATATACTTTCATTGACTGATGTGTTTGAGATGTATTATGTATTGTTAATTGTATGCACATTGTATGCAAATGTTTCTTTCTGGCTCATGAAAGGAACGAAACAGCACAAGAGAGATTACATGATACGTTCAAGACAAAACACATTTTGTATCGAATTGTGATCCCCACATCATGAAAATGCATTAACTCACATGGAAAATTAATATTTTTACCCCTAACAGATAATTCAGCATCAGAAACCAATCGTGAATAATTTGTGATCTTGTTTATGTACATATTTGTGTATATGATTGTTTATTTATCGCTCCTGAATATCGGAAAAATGTGTATATTATGTGTGAACACCTGTACGAATGCTATGTGGATGTTCCATATGCTCATGTTATTCATGTGTCTATGTATGATTTATGTACGTATTGCCAATATGGTCCGCAACACAATTTGGTTATATATAGCTTAAAATGACACTTGGATATCTCTACATTCATCAGCAGTGATTCACGGGCACTGCGCTCTGAACCCGGTGACCTGAGTCCGATCCCTGGCCTTGACCAACATTAGTGAAGAGTGATTGTCTGGATTGGCGCCGGTCCCTCCCTTCGCCAACCAGCACTGGTCAGTCTGGTCAAGTGTAGTCAACAAAAATAGCTCCGATGGATGTGCCGCTGACAACCGTGGTAATGGATTGACAAAGGGTTGTGAATTATTATTCTTGTTGTTGCTGTACGATCTCTATTTTACTGAAAGGAACAAGACCAAACGTATGAGACACACATCTCATATGTTTGTAGATGTGTGTCTCATATTGTGACACTGAATTGTAACAATCCATTGATTTGCAGGGAATGAATATTTCTATTCTTCTATATAATAACACACACGGTCCCAATCTAAAATAAACATGTGCATTTGTATCATTATTTCGTCTTGTATAGCTATGGTATACAGCATCATTATGCTCATACGTCTGAATGTCTATACAGATTCTGGATGTGGTTGTGTTCGTGCACATGTTATTCATATATGTGTTTATGTATTATTCATATACAGTACATATCACTATGGTCTGCTACACAATTTGGTTTTATATATAGCATTAAGTGACGAGGCTGATTTAATCAGAATGTAGATGTATTGAGGTATGATTTATAGAATATATGTATACGTGTAATATATATGTGTACGTATCTGTATTCTTTATATAACTGCAGTGTGTATTGGGGATGAGTCCAATGCTTTTGGTAACTAAATGGTTTTAATGTATTTAAACAATTCTGACTAATTTTACATGCTTTTTTTATTGCCAAAGCTGATAAATGAGGGAAGGCCTCGCACCCGTTACAGGAGGTCCAGGTGCCGCTGGCATACATTCGTGACTTATCCTTGGGAAGGGAGTCCACTCTTTATTGGAGGAGCCTTTCAAAACCATCACTTTACCCTACATTGCGGGGATCACAAAAAAGATCTCCAAAATCTTGAATAAACACAAGATCCAGGTCCGTTTCAACACATGACATAAAATCCGTGATCTGGTTCCATCTGTAAAAGATGTGATTCCGGACATACAGTACCCTGGTGTCTACAAACTAAGTTGCCTCTGTGGTAGTAGTTACATTGGAGAAACCAAACGCCATGTCTCGGACCGCATTCGTGAACACAAAGCAGACCTTAAACACGGTAGGACCAACACCTCGGCCGTGGCAGATCAATTTTATAATTCAGTAGGCTCACATGACATTGACTTCTCCAAGACAGAGGTTCTTTGTAAGCCATCTGGCTGCCATGAGAGATTCGTTCATGAGGCTATCCACATATACAAGCACAGAGACAATTTCAACCGAGAAGATGGATTCTGGCTTAGCAATCATTGGAAGGATTTGATAAACCATTTCATGTCTTAATTGATTGTTCACGCTTATGGTGGCTTTCAGACAGCATACATACATTTTTCGTCTCCCCCCTCCTCTTTTCAGAACATAGATGGACTCGTCCTTCTAAACAAACTGCCAAATCGCTACCCGTGGTGCTAACGATTTTTAAAAATAAATAAATACAAACACTGTTTAGAAATAAATAAATCCAAACCGCCACTTCTTTCAAATGTTTCTTGCCGTTGCTTTTCACACCTGATGACGACCGTTTGTCTTATGGTCGAAACGTCGTGAGAATTTTTATTGTTTTATATATATTATTATTTTATTGTTTCCCTTCAACGTGACTTTACCGAAAGAGCTAAGAATATGAAAAACAAGGGGTTTAAGACAATGCTTCATAATTCAATTTGTTTATACATTCTTAAATATATTGATTTAGCTAAATCAATATGAATTGTATATTTAAAGGTGCCAGTGAAAGATAAATTAGCAAATATGTATCCGCTCCGGTTAGCACAGTTGGCTACGTAATTTTGCGAAAGAAGTTCAACATACATACAAAACCTCAATTGTGTCCTGAGTTAGCTGTGATTAATGAGATAAAAATGACTTTAACATAAAAATCAGGCACTGTCACAGTTCTTTGGTGACATTGCTTCATTGATATTTGGATTAAAACATTGGTGTGACAGTGACGCCAAGAGGGTGCTGCATTTGAAAGTATGATTGTATTTTTAAGTGTATCTTTCTGAGTCATGTTGAACAGCATGGGACACACAACATGGAAGTATGCATCTTCAGTGATAAGCAGGTAATTTTACTTTCAACTGGGCAAAACCAATTGGGACCAAAAATCCAGTTTTTATTTGGAGATCTGAATAATCTGAACCCACGTGCATGTGCACCACTAGGCCCTCATGCAAGGCATGAAATAGGGCCCCCTTGTCAATGGCCTTTGGATGGGGGCCTCCTGTCCAATTTCCTCCACGCGGCCAGACACCTGCACCGCTCGTATACCCGTATGTATGCCTTGGTGGAGTTGCACGTCTCGCCTGCTGGATAGGTACGCCACTGCTGTGCGCCTATGTTTTGTTCGTGTATGCCCACGCGGCGTGTCAGCGCTCTGCCTATATGTGTTTGTGTGACGATTATCTGAACCGGTCCTGGGCCTCCCCTAGGTCGATTCAGCCTTAAATGAGTACCTGCTACGGTGTGTAAACATCGTCACTGGGGTGACAAATGTTGGCCACCCACTCCCTCGTGTGCTTTGCCGGCCTCCATGGGCGCTGGCTAACGGCACCTGCCCCAACGGTTTGTTAAAGCTATCCGGGGGCTCTTTGTCTTTGTGCGAACGTTCTCTGCAGTGGTCGAAATACGTGCGTGCCATGGTGCGGCGTGAGAAGGGGCTGCCCGTCCTGGTGGAGCTGCTGCGCATGGACAGCGACCGCGTAGTTTGTGCCGTGGCCACAGCCTTGCGCAACATGGCCATGGACGTGCTCAGCAAGGAGCTCATCGGTGTGTACACGCAAAGAAAAAGATCCCCCTTTATATATTTTTATATATATACACCCTCGGGGCATGTGCTGTGAGCGTGTAGATTGTTGAGGCTGCCACGGTGCATGAGGGGGTGGGTGGCCACCATCGTAACCACCAGACTTTGTCTCCTCATTGCTGATGTTTTCGCACTGTACCCAGGCACTCATTTAAGGCTCAGTCGAAGTATGGAAGGCCCAGCACGGGTTCAGGTATACGCTAACTGGTGTTTGCCATGAGTGGAAATCGAACTCTGGTCACCGGGTTTTGTAGCACAGTGCGCTAACCGCTATGACACGCACGCACACACGCGCGCACACACAGTGCTACGTTCAACACCATTAGACTCACACTCTAACAAAAAGTGTGGAGGCCTTGATGCAGCGGTGTATTAAACATTACTGTTATTACTACTGTCTGGTTTAACGGGTAGCACCGTGTGTCATTCAGCACGATGTCCTGAAGTACCTCCGATTAGCATGGTTGGCTACTTACGGCGCGAAAGAAGTTCAACATACATACAAGTACCTGAAGTTTGAACATCGTTCCGAAACAACACACGGTACAGCTCGAAAACACGTCGGAGACCTATTATTAATACGATCATCATACACTCAGTTTGCCAGCTTGCACTTTAACCTCCCCTTCATTGACAAACACCCCACCCATGCGTCAGGCAAGTACGCGATGAGGGACCTCGTACAGCGCCTGCCAGAGCCCGTGACAAACAACAGCATTGCAAGTGGGGTGGTGGGAGGCAGCGGCGGTGGAGGAGGAGGTATGGTGAGCGGTACGAGCGGCGATGAAACTCCGGGCGCCACGGCGTCGGCGGCGTTGATGACAGCAGCGCGGGGGGCTGGCGGCAACGGTAACAATGGTCACGGGGAAATGTGCGCGTCGGAGGACACGGTGGCGGCCGTCTGCTGCGCCCTCAACGAGGTGACGACGCAGAATATGGAGAACGCCAAGGCGCTGAGAGACGCCGGCGGGATCGAGCGGCTGGTGCACGTGACGCGCGGGCGCACTGACAGGTGGGTGGCGCTGCCCCCCCCCCCCCCCCAAACAGGCTGCGTTCGTTCTTGGGGCACAAGTCGTTCCGTTGTGTTGCGGTCTGTCGGCCAGTCTCGGTTAATTCATGTGAACGATTTACATTTAGAATTTCGATTTAAAGCTTTCGTGACCGCAGGGATTCATCTTCTGGGTTCTTTTGGTAAAGTCACGTAGAATGCAGATAAAATAATAAAAATAATAATAACAGAATAAAATTCTCACGACGTTTCGGCCACAACACAAGTAGCCTTCCTCAGGTGAAGAAACAGGACTGTCCGAAGACAGCGCACTCTAAGCCATGTGGCATAATTTACTTTCCTTGAAATTCTCGGTTCCAAAATGGTTATTTAAGCATGCTGTGGCCATTCTCAGTGGCAAGGGCAAACATGTCCATCAGAGCGATAAAGATGCAAAGACTGTCTTGCTGTTATAAAAAAAAAATAATGCCTTCTAACTCGACAGATAGAGGTCCATTTGGGCACATTACCAGATGTCCTATAAAGTTGCTGTCCAAGCTTTTTTACTGGCTGGGGGGCCATGCACTGCTGCTGGAATCACTGGCCACACAGTGTAATCTTGGGCCGAAGTATCATGCGGTCTTTGATTTATTACCCACTTTATCAGAAGTTATATCGATCGAAACTGGTATTTTGTTTGGGTATTCAGTCCTGTTAACAGTGCTGATGGATAATTGCACACTGCGATTACACACGCGCACACATTAAATAGGGACAGAGTTCATACATTTAGCTGTGAGCGGAATAAATTAATATTTTAAAAAAAAATCAGTTCTCATCACGTGCATTACTGTACATTTCCCAATCACTTTTTTCTCCCATTTGCTGAAAGTAAATAAAACAGAATAAGTGATTTTTTTTCAGGTGTGTTTCTGCAATGGGCTGATTAGTGGACGTTGAATTGTGACACATTGTCTTAACCCCTTGTTTTTCCTTTGTGCACTCCAAAACAGAGTGGACTCCCTTCCCAAGGATAAGTCACGGATGTATGCCAGCGACACCTGGACCTCCTCGAACGGGTGCGCGAGGCCTTCCCTCATTGATCACCACTCTTTGTGTTCTCTCTGTCAGTGCATCCTCGTCAATGTTTATATGTATGGCTGCATCTGCTGAATGTCTGTGCATTTATGTCCATGCATTTATCTCTGCATCTGTTTGGCTGTGTCTGCATAATGCCTGTCCCTCTCTCGCAAGTATGTATGTGCATGAAAGTCGATGTATCATCGTGTCTGGCTCTTTTCTTATGTTCCCGACATTTTGTTATCTATGTCATCTCAATCATTTTGTTTGAGTGCCAAATACGTATTTTTCTGTTGAATTTTAAGTTGCTCTGGAGGTGGCCGGGTGGCTCGGAGGTCGGAGCGTTGAGCTGACACCGTTGAGATCCTGGGCTCGAATCCAGGCTGCGGCCTGTGATTAATCCAGGTCCTCGTGTGTAGCGAGTTGATGGTCTCAGAACAATAACCAGTGAAATAACCATTGCAATACATTCGGTTTGCTTAATTTGGTTAAATTTCAGCTCCGAGATAGAAAACCATAATTTTGACTGTCCATGCCTTGAACCATTATTCTCTATGGCAGGGAAGGTGGGAAACTGCTGCCCCCCCCCCCCCCCCCCCCCCCACTGTATGAACCACAGGTCACTTGAAGGGATTCCAGAAGCTTTGCTTTCTGTGATATCCACTTACATGGGGCCATTCTCTCACACAAAGGGTGGAGGGATGGCACAGTGTTTAGTGTGGATTTTTGCTGGCCATCGAACAAAGATGGTAACTGCATCTTCGTGCGCTTTCAGATGCACTTCTGCGGCCGTCTGGAATGTTCTTCCTTCCGATATTAGGAAGCCACTGGAGCTTTGCACTTTTAAATCTAGATTAAAAACTCGTTTCTTAGGAATAGTTTGTTTGTGTGTTTAGTTTCTTGTCCTTCCCCCGCACCTCTCATTAGCACGGTTGGCTATGTACAGTGTGAAAGAAGTTCAACATACATACATATTCAATTGTGCTATGAACCTGGTGACCTGAATTCGATTGCTGGCAGTGGCCAATATCAGTAGCATGTAATATCTGAACTATGCTGGACCCCCTGTATGGCCGCCAAACTGCCACAGTGTAGGGGATGCCTTCAAGCAGCATTGGATTGGCAAAGAGGCTGTGCATCACAATGCATTGCTATGTGTTCTGACCCATGCAGGTTCTCTCCGAAGGTCGTCAAAGCAGCGGCGCAAGTTCTGAGTACCCTGTGGCAGTATCGTGATCTGCGAGCCCTCTACAAGAAGGTGTGGTGTGTGTGTGTGTACCAATCCAGGACCTCTTTCATTTACTTTGCATTCGGCCTCTCTTGGAGCAATTGCACAAGTAGTCATCAATGCTTTGCAAATGACAGGTTCTCTGAATATATCGTATTTTTTAATTGATTATTTTACCATTACCTTTCAAAAATGTAGTTTATTGGCATCATCTCATGAGACAATGAAAATGTTTAATTCAGATCTTTTGCAGGCATTAATGCAATGCCACACGTTAGAGGAATGGCCAATGCAAGGTGTCATGGAACTAATTCTGAGATTTCGACCAATCGTTTATCATCGGCGCGAGGAGCACTGCACTTATCCGTGTGCTCTCTCGTAAAGTTGTTCATTGTTTGGCAGAAAACCAACGTGTTTATATTTCCAGAGCTGGAATTTGCCAAAGTAATCGAAGAAAATCAAATTCATTATTATTTGTGATGTGAAGTCGCATGTGTTTCATTGTGCAACTCTGATCCCTTAACTCAAAAATCCACGTTGGATAATTCCTGCAGTGTTGATGAGAAGACACTTATACATTTTTGTTGCTGCACTATTTTTTACCCACCCGTTGTACTGGCTTCAGTTTACATCAAAGCTAGAGAGCACCTTAAGGCTGGACAAGCCAGTCGGTGACAAGTAAGGGCACGTTAAGAAAAGAAAAAACGATTGTTGCGTTACTGTACATCGTGTTGTGCGTGAGTAATGATTATTTTAGATTTGCAGTATTTGTGTGGTGTGTAATAGGCTCACAGCAACCCCTGTAGCCACCGCAGTTGCGACGTTGACTGTAACGTAAACAGAACAAATTTAATTGTAATTTTGTATCATGAAGAGATTCCCGAGGTAATGAACGGCTCGGATAGTTCCATTCCTCCGTGAATGGTAAATAAACAAAGTCGGGTTGTTGGTTCGTGATGCTTATGTATGCGAGTAATGTTGATGGATTGTTGTACGATGATTTTACGTTTTAGGCTGCGTCCGCCAAAGTGACATCTAATGTAGCTTCTCCCCTCTCACCCCGTTCGTATCTGCTTGTAGCCTTGCTCCTCCAAAAGGGGGCAGATACCCCACTGGAACAGAAAGAGACTCAAAAGCATGATTGACAAATATAAAATGTGAAATAATCATAAGAGTCATGATGAACAGCTATATTTGGATTGGAAACAAAAAAAGCTATATCTCAATAACCACAGTCATATAAACCTGTAAGAAACTAGTCATATCAGAAGCTGCAAGTTGAGCGATCGTTGACCTTTGGCAACCTTAGAGTAAATTTCGATTTGAAGCTTTCGTGACTGCAAGGATTCATCTTCTTTGGTTCTTTCGGTAAAGTCACGTAGAATGAGAATAAAATAATAAATTGATAAAATAAAATAACAATAATATTCTCACTACGTTTCGGCCACAACACAAGCGGCCTTCATCAGGTGAAGGGACAGCGCTGTCCTCCAGACAGTCTCGTCCCTTCACCTAATGAAGGCCGCTTGTGTTGTGGCCGAAACGTCGTGAGAATATTATTGTGTTATTTTATTTTATCAATTTATTATTTTATTCTCATTCTACGTGACTTTACCGAAAGAACCAAAGAAGATGAATCTTAGAGTAGTGCAATTTTTTCGTGATATTTTGTGCAACGCGTTCCTATCCAACGCAAAATAAATATTAATTGAAGGAAGCACAACTGGGATAACAAGGCGGAGTAGGGATATTTTGGCCAATTATGGAAGGCCGACCTGGATAAAAATGTTGAAAGAAAGTCGTGAGTGAGAGCAGAGATACATTTGATGATTAAAAGCAAAAATACCAATGTGCCTTAAGGAGAAAGCTTGCAGTCGGCATATATTACCTGTCACGAAATTTGGATTGGACACAAACACTGACAAATAATGTGGAGAAAAAAAGCTGTAAAATTTTCAAAGACTCATGGAGAGATGATGCTGGGAATTACAGAGACAGAAAGAAGAATTAATCACTTGGAGAACATGAAATTTAGACAATTTTTGCTGACTGTTAAGACAAGTTCTTTGGTTTGGACAGGACACATTGCTAGATGCAATGCTCCCCTGTGTGGCTAAACAAGTGATCCTGTGTCCCCATGTGTATGCGTTGGTTGGGTCGTGGTCTAATCGTAGCTGATGCACACCAATATGCTCCCTAATCTCTGATGGACCAGTTTCATGAACTGGCTATACTTTTACACCTGAATCTGACATGAAAGTCGCTTCGTGTATGAATAACTCGAGTGCAGTGGACGAGAAACGAGAATAGTCTCAAGTACAGTTTACCTTTTAAATGTTTTTTTAGTCACGTTTGTTTTTGTATTTTTTACTATTGTTTTTATAGTTTACCAGGTAAGGCCCACTGAGCTATATAGCTATTTTTCAGAAGCTATCTGGGCACAAATGCTAGCTCAACCAAGTGGCTTATCCCGTGGAAATGTAAAGTTGGCAGCCATATACTCTAAACGCACATTTCTAAATGTGGAGGGTAAAGCCGGAGAAAAATCTTCGCAACTACGGGGAGAACGTGGAAACCAAATATGCAGGTGTCAGGGTTGGAATCTAACCCACGACCTCCTGCTTATGAGCCGAGCTAGTTAACATCTCGCCACCGTGGTGCCCCGTATTACATCTGTGTTACATTATTGCTTTTGCACAATGTATTTGGTATTTAATTACTTCCTGACTGAATAATTATCTCAAATACCCCCTTATGTTGTGACACCACAAGATCCACCGCATGGGAGGCGCAGTATAAATAACAAATGATGGTGATGATGAGGTCATCCCACCATGAAATGGGTACCAATCGCTGTGGTGAGATTAGCATTAACACTGGGGAGACCGAGCATGACCAGGCATGGGGTGCTGACCGCATGATCGTTTTGTGAATAGTGCCAACCTTAATAAATACTCACTCACAGCAGTTTATGTAACCATCAACAGAGTAAAATGGAGTCTATTTGTACATTTTGTGGGTAAAGTACACAACCATTTTATCTGGAAATGGAGTTTGGAAAGTATATTTAATTGCCATCTATAAAACAATAATCTTGCCTTGAATTGAATGACTTCCAATCTTTTAAAAAAAAAGGTTATTCCAAAGCCACATAGGAAAGTGAGTGAATGATGCTTACATCAGCAGGGTCCCCTATTGATTTTGCTCTAGACGTAGCAATATGAGACAATGTATTCCATCGACGTAAACGCAGCAGCAGTAGACAACTTGAAGCTGTAATGTCTTGCTTGGTTGCTTCTGTGGAGAGTCCATTTTAGCAGTGGTTAGACAAATGCAGCTCCACCCCTCTATCCATCCCGGATGTCCCTCTGCCCTTCATTATTCAGACCTTCCAGTGCTTTTTCTCCCTCCGAAGATATCCTTCACCATGTCCCAGTCATTTCCCTTATCCTCGTCTTCCCCACTCTCTCGCTCGGCCTTCTCTCCTTTTCCATCTGGCAGGATCTACGATCTCACTTGTAGTGTAATTAACACAAAGCATGAGAAATTGCCGCTGTCATGGAGCGGCTGGGCTGATTTGTTGGTTGGCCGGTGAATGTGTATGCACGTTTTTCCTCGTGGTTTCATACAAACTAATTAGTTAAACAAATATACCGTTTCCAGCATCCAGTCAGCCACACTCACCCAGGCGTGCCATCCTTAATACATACGCGCGCAAAATGTGCTGTTGCGCTTGCAAGATAAATACGAATGTGCACACATGCCCACACACAAATGCAAAGTCCATTTGATCTGCGCCTCGCACAAAGAATGCTCGCGCCCCAGGAGCCTTAAACGCATGCACAACCACACCCTCTCCTCCAGGGAATACTATCGTCCACCTCCAATTATTCACATCACACACACAAGTGGGGCTTGAATGCACGCACACACACACACACGCAACCGGGCCACAAAGTGGCTTGCATATTCAAATGTGCGCAATGTGACCGTTAAGCAATATGCACGCGACCTCGCACACGCAAAATGCAAAGATCCCCCATGCAGCTTGCACAGCCTGTTGGGGCAAGTGCCATTAGTGAGCACCTGTGAACGCTGGCACGTGCCACGAGGGGTGTCCAGGGCCGTTACCTGGCCGTCTTTGTCTCCCCAGTGCTGACGTGCGCACACACACACACACACGCATAGACAAATACACACATGTAATCACACTTAAGGAAACAATTTGTCTCCGGTCCCTCAGGGATCTGTTAGGTTCGCTGCAATTGGGGAGCGGGTGCATTCCAACGAGGCACGCCCCCAATACCAGGGAGGGTTGAACATCTCGTGCCGTACCCGGACACGTGTGTCCATCCGGCGCGCTGTCAATCCCAATCTGAGGAACACATTCTATTTAACGGGCTGACCGAAAGCGCGACCTCCGCGAATGCTGGACCAATTAGGTGTGCGAGTTTGCAGTGAGCTCGCAAACCGTGGCGGAATACGGGCATGCGCGTGAAGGGTGTACGTGGAACGGGCACGTGCAAAAGCGCACGTGAAGTTTGGTAGGTTCCTGTGAGCATCTGAAAAGCCTCCAAATTCTTGTTAATGTCACAACGCTGACAAAGGAATGTTCTTAGAAAATTAATCCGATGTTGTTTGTCGTGGCTTAAAAAAAAATATTCCGAAGCTTGTGATGCCACTGGGACAAAATTCGTGTGTATCTCGTACGTGCATGCAGTCTCATGCAAATGCCGCTCGCACACACTCCCGCACACACACACTTGTGCACGCGTGCACACAGGCACATGTGCTCCATCTCCCATGACTAATCAGGCATTCCTGGCGCCTTTGAAGTCTTAGATGTTTGCATTTAACAAAAAAACATGTGCAATATATATAAATTGGCTGTGCACATTTTAGATGTTTTTGTAGAAATAACGCACGCTGCATTGATGTGCAGACTTGAATAGCATCCCCATCATCGTTGAGCATTCATATTATGGAGAACTGCATTGGATATATGCTTTGGTAACTATAGATTGAGTGAC